GAATCGTCGGAGTGAGCCGTCGTGGAACGAACTATATAGATCTGATAAAGTCTCGTATCAGTCGGATTTGTCTGACTCGAGGATCAGCAATTGCTGGTCAATAGACAATGGTCATTTGGAAGAAAATTGGAGAGGGATGGATGTGACATACAAGTTGCTGTCTTGGCACGCTAGACAGCAGTCTCCCTGTCAGATAGAGCGTCGGTAGCTGTCGCAGTCATGGACTTGAAGCATCATCAGTTGAACTTTTGGAAGTAGTGGCCTGGGCCATTGAAGTTACTAAGCAACTAGTGGCGGCCACCAGTATAGAATGACATTAGTCAGTAGCTCTCAATCGGTTCAAGGTAGTCCAAGGATCTGGCAGATGTCCCCTCGTGATGATTGTTGTATGCAACAGTCAAGTCTCGGGACAAAAGACCGTCGGAGAGTCCTCGGTTCCCAGAAGTTGCGTCACTTTAAGGTACGCGACTATCTCCTTCAAACATATGCAATTCAGTTCAATTCCCTCGTTCAATATAGACTTATATTTCTTCGTGTAGTCCTTCATCAGGAAACCCACTGCCGAGTGAAGTGACTTGTAGCAGCGTGTAGCACAGTGCTTCTTTTGAATCAACGGTAGCAGCTTGTAACAGCCAGTAATAGGCGAAAGGACTAAAACCTCCATACTGGCTCCGGGAATTTCGAACATGCCACAACGTGTCCGTAATTCTCAGTAAGCGATCACGATTATGAGTTTATCATAATCTTTGCGGCACGATAAGATGATGGTGATCCATTCAATAACTTTGTCAGGCAGGAATATTGGGATTGAGGCAGAGGGAAACTAGCGATAGTACAGGCTCAAGAAACTACTGGTAACTGAGAATAGCATGGAAGGTCTCTTTATCTGCAAAATTATTCACATAAAACTCCCGTGCCAGCTGCAGACTATTGTCGCAGTTCATGCTCGCTGATACCTCTCGACCGAACTTGGGAATTAGCTGGATAATCTGACGTACACTTTCCAGAGGTACGATGTCTCCCAAAGCAGTGTTGTTGGATCGAACACGGTGGTGAACTAAGAACATGTCAGTCACAGGCGCGGGAGTAACAATACGAAGCTCGTCGAAGGTGCTGACTAATGAATGAGAAAAGTTGAAGAATTCGACATAAAGGAAAGGCTGGTTCAGATGGGGGGCTTTAGTAATAGGCTGGAGGATAGATTTGACTTGGACAACGGCATAACCTAGCATTCAAGTGTGAGAATCTAAGAAGTTACGAGCAAGAGTATTAGACGTACGTTCGGATACTGCTGGGGAAAGCAGTTCACCACTTTCGTGAGAAATAAGGACGGTATTTCCTCTTCCAAATGGCATCAAAGAGCTTGGTGGTAGCGCCTGAACGGTCTGAGCAGGACTAACAACACGGGCATCTTGCATGGAGCGTCGCTGTATGCGAAAATTTTGCCAAACACGAAGGTGATCAAAGGAAAGGGAGCAGTTGGGGCGACAAACTCGTCTTCCATTGCGCTCGAGGTAAGATCTACCAGAGATCAGATCACCCAGCGCTGAACGGAGATCAGGAATGCGAAAAAGCTGAGAGGCTTCTTCAATAGATAAGTTGGGATAATGCGGACGGCAAGCAAGCAGGATTGCGACAGAGTCGTCAGAAGAAATATGAGAGCGATCTTTGATGAATAGTGAAGTGATTGGTTTGCCGGCACCGACATACTGCTCATCAGGCAGAACAGTAGAGATCCAGGTTGCTTCAGGGTAGTGGAGCGTCATTGCGTGTGCTTCTCTTGACATTTCGTATATTAAACTTGCCCGCTGCGATTTGAGAACTGTGTAGAGCTGGAAGAATTGCAGTTTTTCTTGACGATCGAGGAAGTGGCAGCACTGACCATGAAAATCCTTGCGGTTGGTCATGCGGTAAGGTCGTTTCGCATGGGTGATGTGACAGCGCTCAGTGATATCACTGCTCCATTGATATGGGGCACCCATAGAGCGAGTACTCTGGGTGACATGTTGCATCAACTCCAGCTTCGGAATCTGAAAGTGATTCAGGGGACCGTTCTTGCCACGGCGACCGCCAGCTGTTATGATGGAAGCCTTGTAGTGGTGAAACTCGCGTAAGGCCTCAGTTAAAGAGTGTAACGTTTCTTCGTAGAGGAAGAGGTTCTGAGCTTGAAATATGAATTCTGTGATAGCGCGCAGTGCGCATGCAACATTATCGGGAACAGCACCAACGATGACGGCAGGAAGGAGCTTCTCAAGGTCTCGATGCTCTCGACCAGTCAGCTGCTTCAATTTAGATACACCGTTTGCCCAATGGCGCACACCTACACGAGGTTGAAGAGCTGATAGCCGACGATCGAGTTCCGCTCCCCCCATGATATTTACAGACCAAGTAATGGGGTGGTCGAAGAAGAACTTGTGCCATTGATGAAGGGCATCCGGCGTTAAAAAGCGGGATGGACATGCATCGCCCCAATCCATCCAGTATGGTTCAACTACGCCATTCAGATGCAGTGACTGACACGTCTTATAAAAGGACGCAATATCGCAGGGGTCAGAAATTGTGCATGCCGTTTCGATAGCGTCAAGAGTGTGCGAACGAGTTCGAGGAGGGTGCGGAAGAGGGTCCCCAAATTGTGCAGAAACGGCGAGGGAGATTGGTGAGCGCTTCGAGGCAGTACATGAAATAAGGAGTTGCTCAGGGTAGTCGGCTATCCAGGCAACCAAAGGGGTATGAATCATGCGCAGATCTCCTTTTGGGTCTGACATGATGCAGCCATCACGAGCGGCAATCTTCAAATTACGGGTGACAATTGAGATCGCGAAATGATAGACTCGTGCAGATAAAATTGCATGAACAGGCCTCGAGACGTTGAGAAATTTAGGTATTGGGAGGTAGGCGACCAAAGCGAACGCATGTGATGTTGCTTTCATGCGAACACCCGCATGGATATTAGCAAGTGAGATCAACAGGGGATGCATCTCCTTGTTTCCGGTTCCGATCGTTAGGGGTGTCTTGTCTGAAGCGCCAATTACACCAACAAATGAATGGCCTGGAGGAAGCTGATCCTGACGACTTGTCGTTAATACAGTGAACGCTCAACATCAGTGGGTGCCACCCACCTGTATCTCCCATGCATGATCAGCACTCATGAACTCTCCATAAGCTCGCTGTCTATCTGGACCCTCGAATTCTTGATATGGCTGAAAATCTATGCATGGCGCAAAGACTGGGTTGGCGAAAAGATGCTTGACGACTTCCAGGCCATCCCTCCAATATAGCATCAACGGTGCATTCGTCTTATAGGAACCGACCCTAATTTGTTGGTGGTACCATCGAGGAACTTTAGGTAGTCCTTCGATCCGAGCTTGCAGATCCTTAGATGTACTGAAAGAAGGTGGATTATTCTTCGTCTATATCTATCATTAATATACTTGTACAAGAAATGTCGATTGATGACTTACATGCTCGAGGTGGAGAAAGGCATCAATTTCCTTTTGCGATAATGCTCCCCTTGAAAGCCAGCCTGCGAGGTCAAACTCAGATTTCGATGCAAAGGGATAATAAATGTTTTCTGTATGACGGATGGTAGCATATTCGTCGTCGTCCATTCGCTGAAGATGGTTTTGCCCTCCAGGTTTGGTAATTGGTATATTGGGGTGGTACTCCCTTAGCGTGCCAGGACGTGGACCTGCAGAGGGATCAACAGATATGAGGGGGGCGTCACATGCTGAGTCGACCGCAGTGTATTCGACATGCGACATCATGGGTTCCTCGACATCGTCCAAAGGATCAAAGTATTCCCCATAGACTAGATACATACTGAACTATAGTCGCAGTTTGAGTGAGAAATACGTACCTTCTTGGTCAGTTTCTGGGTCGTCAAGATAGTCTTGTGAGAAACGATTGTGTTCCTCGAAGTCCAGAGCAACACCTTGGACAACTCTTTGACCACAAATAACAGAGGCTGACAGATGGTGAATAACATCGTCACTGTTTTCAAATGTATCTGCGCAGTTGGGGCAAGTAAATGCGTGCCCATCGTTAGTTGAATGGGGTACATCAAAAAGAGACAGAGACATGCTGATGAATATTCGGGGGGATTCGTCTACTGACACTTTGGAGTTGAGGAACGCCCTTATATATGTGTCTGAAATCCCTTGATTGCCCAAGTCTGTCAAATCTGGTTGTCTTCTCGTGAGCCGTCATTGTTATCAAGTGATCAGGATCATTCATAACACGTACCAGATAACTCATCTCCTAAGTGTATTGTCTTTCCGGCATTGCCATTGTTCACTTTTGTGAGAAAGAAGCACTACGATCATAATAGTTCAGCGCTCACCCCTCTGTTTTCCTGCCATTGTGCAGATAGCTCCATTACTCACCTTCTGAGTGTCATACCAGGTGTGGTTCTGTAGATCAGATTGAGTTATCGTGAATGAGATACCCAGATTCACTTTGAAGTTGAGCCAATCACGAGCTGCTCGTTCGTCTACCCCATGAACCCGAACCATATGCTCAGGCTTGAAACTTAGGTGAGGGTTTCACTTTATCAGGAAATCTGACTTACAATACTCTCTGGAATTGTGCGTAGAGGGTTCGGGTTACTGTGAATGGGATACCTATGGCATGGCTGGTTGCGGAGTATCGCTGGACTTTGCAAAATTTTGGCAAACTCATCCTCACACCGTGTGAGTTTTCCATTTGTTGATCCAAGTATCACTATCAACCTTGCATGCTATTGAAGAGTTTCATGCCCTGCAAAAGCAGCACTGGCAGTTCAGTTGCATCAGGGAGCACTGGGTCGTTCAAGAGGTCCGTTTGTTATTAAGAGCTATTTTAACTGAGCATAGCCCACTCACTAACTGTGCACTCCAGTGCTTCCGAGTTGTCGCCTCTCACGCCTGAGGCACTTAACAGCTCTCCCATTTTGAAGAGTAGCCTAAGGGCTAGGTCTGTTCATTATCAAGATCCATTTTGCTCGAGTGCATCATTTGCTTACCATGTACTCCAGTGTTTCCTTGCCTCCCACATCTGAGGCACCTAATAGCTCTCCCATCCTGAAGAGTAGCTCTTTCAGCTTAAGGGCTAGTTCCCCAGCGACTCCAGACAAGCATATTAGGTAAGTTTATTCAATGAGTGTCTTTTATGTACTACATCAGCAGCCATTCACACTAAGGACTCCAGCGTTTTGCCGCCTCTTACATCCAAGGCGCCTGATAGCTCTCCCATTTTGAAGAGCTGTGCCTCTTCCTGCTGGAAGACTGGTTTCCCAGTGACTCCAGTCAAGCCTAGGTTTGAACATGAGTTGTGTATTTTAGAGTGGTATTCACTATGACTTTTCAGAGTATCTACTGTTGGATCACTGTCTGGTACATATGAGGCGCCAGCTAGCTCTCCCATCCTGGGAAGTAGTTCCCCCATATCACGTAGCTCCCCCATTGTGAGGGGTAGCTCTCCCACCGCGAACGCTTCACCCCTCTTTACCGCCATATTGGATGAGGGTAACCCCATACTAGATAACAAATCCAATTCTCACAAGAGGCCGTATGAATACAGCTTGCTGCCAGATCACGATGAACTTGTGGACCGTGAGAACTTTCCCATGAAAAAACCCAAGCTATTGCTCACAACCGTACGTCTCCTTTGGCGCGCTTACCTGGATGCAGTTCAAGAACTTATACATGTGTTAGTTCACTTGCGATCGACCCTGTGATACTGAAATTTATTTCAATCAGCGCATGCTCGAACTCTCTCGTATCAGCCATCGGACTTTCGCTGCCAAGATGGAATATCAGCGCCTACGCGCTGAAGAACTAGAGCTGATCACGTCCCTCATGAGAGACGAAATGGAGGAGTCCCAGGCACATTTGAAAAGGGCCGATCTTCAAATAGGTTCACTCCGGAACAGCCTTCACGATGCAGGAGTGGCAGTAATAGGGAACAAAGGGAGAAAGGATGCCAAGGAGAGCGGATATAGCAGGATGTTCCCTAGTCACGATGACCACGAGGTTGATGACAGCAGGGAGCCATACAATTCTTCGGTTTCTTCTGGATGCGATGGCAGTGTTGATGGGAAGCAGACGGCAGGTGAGGAGTCATATTACTAATGTCGACTCCACCCATTCAAATTCTCGTGTTCGATTACTCTTATCTGACCGTTTATAGAGTACATATGTACATATGTAGTCTGCTGTAGTATCACTGGCGGTACAATTATGAGAATATGAATCTATCTTCTGATGGCACCTGACTCCTATCTCGACAATTGTGGCGCAATCATAATTCTATCATGGGTTCAGAACAAGCGCCTGGCTAGAAATTCATACTTGAGCTGAATCTTACGGTTCTTCTTCTCATTTGAGTCATCAACTCGTGCCTCATGCCGCGATCGATAAAACAGTGCCAGTGGGCCTGTCAGTTCAATTTCAAGTTGAACCGGTCGTGAACTGCTCATTCATCTGCCCGCAACCCGAACCATTGGTCCATATGCATTATTTAAAGGTGTGTTTTCACTTTATCAGGTAATTTGACTCTCTAACGCTACTAGTACTATGCCTCGCATTGCTGGGCATGGGCGTGGGCGTGGCAATGGTAGTAGCACCCCTGGCGCACAACCCAATGTTCACGAACACGGACAGCCTTCAGTCATCGCCCCCTTTCAACCAACTCCGTTTCAAACAAGTCAAAGTGACTCGGGAGTCGCGACGGAACGTCGTATCGCTGCAAACGCTATGTTACAGGTATGTACTGCGCTGTACTTCAGTGCATTATCGATCCTATACTTACGATGATTCCAGACAGAAGGTCCTGCTGTCGACACGTTGCAGCACCATCAATCTCGCCGCAGAACAGCCCAGTTACCGCCGCAAGAGCGCCTTAGGCCATACGCGATCCCATCCTCAAGTTCACGCACCTCCAGCCAGCGAACGTCGTCGAGGGCCTCGATGAGCACAATGTCTCTCGACGACCTCGACGACAATGGAAGCAACTCACAGCGTGCGAGGCGTGGCTCGAGGAACGCTACCATGAATCCCTCAAATATCGGTTTTTACAGTGAGAAGGATAAAAATAATATATATCTTGCTCGGAAACTCATCGTGCTTGACATGATCCTTGAGTCTGGGTGGGAGAACGATCGCAGGGTGCTGGAGGCCATCGCCACCGAGTGCCTCTCTTCAGCATGTGTGAGGAGCGGCCATGGTATGTTTTTTTTCATTGATCATAAATGTGTACTTACTTGTAAATAGATACCGAGCCTACGACTAAAGTCCTCAAGTTTATAATGGACGAACTCTCAAACATACGAGGAAAATTGGTTCAAGAAGCCGAAAGCTATCTACCGGCCCTTGGGCTTCAGCCCGACTCGGGTACCATAATTGGAGAAGACGACACGGCGCGCATAATAGCGCGTGCGAATGTCCTGCTGGACGAAAGAAACCTTCAAGACTACTTTTTGCATGGCTGGGACTCTGATCGCTCGAAGATACTTGTATTTTCGTCCAAACCTTACTTCGATTTTCATGAAGGCTTTTGGTTTGGGCGAAATTCGCCTTTCATCAACGACCCAGCGTCGAGAACGCAGATCTCAAAACCCTCATGGTTTATGTATGAACTCTCGGGCGCCGCAGTGAGTCTGTTTGTCGAATCCTTGGATACTACTGACTCATTTTTGTTTGACGCTAGTTGAATTGTGTCATACGCCGTATTGCAACAGGCCAGCTATCGAAATCGAAAAAAGTGCTGTACTTCACCACGGACGAGTTTCAGCCAGTCGCAATTGGAATCCGGAACGCAATGAAGCGATATTTGGATTGCCCTGAGCTTGATGACGGTGAATTCTTACCACGCATCACCGCTCACCATGAGCACTGTTTGTAAGTGTATGAGAGACGCAAAAAATGATATATTGACTTCGTGTTTACAGAAGAGTTCTTAGGTCTCGTACTGGGGAAGGATCGCCTATGAAACAATACAATATATATGTCCCATCCTCCTCATCGGAACTATACCGATCGAGGACGAATAACTCCTCAGCAACTCTTTCAACGTCTTCGGCTTCGTTACCGTCGCTCACATTCCATCAAGGTACAGTTGCATCGTCATCATCGTCGTCGTCCAATGCATCATGGTACCCTCATGGTGTTGTACAATCGCCTCAAGTAGCGCAATACGCGCCATACCTCCCCGGTGATCATGATTGCAGTGGTTACAGCGGTGAAACACCCTCAGGTTTAAGTTCGCTTTATCATCATGTCCCGCCGGAGTCGCAGCCATTTGAAGAACCCGAAGTTGTGTCAGATCAGGGTGATGCACCACCATTCACGCAGGATGACCAACAGAACGACAATCAATTTTTCTTTACGCCGGGTTCAAGTGCGCTTGCAGGTTGGGGTGGTAGCATTACAGGTACTGGTAGTTGGAGGGGTCCAATGACATGATGGTCTCGTATTGTTATATTCGATGTCGAAGGGTAGCTCATTGTTTGTCCTGCTGATAATCTATTGTAGTACTAGTATACGATTCTTGCGATTGTACTATCTCAAATCTAATCACAACGGCAACGGTTTGAATGATCAATTGACTACTGCATTAGGAAGCAAAATCGAGTCCGAAATCGAACGGTTCCGTGAATTCGAACAGCCGACGTTCAAAATCTATTCTAACTCTAAATGGCTTAGCACTATAGTTATAGTGTATTACAAGTCGTTACAATTTGATTCTGTAATAGTCGACTGTTACAGTACCGCATTCTGTTACAGTGCTTCTGCTTGCTACAAAGGACTTCATAACGCAAGATATCCTGCTGATGTTATCGAAGCGCCCACCAGCTGCCAGGGTTCATACCGTTGGCATGGCCTCCACTCATTCACCCCTTTGGCTTTAAACATATGAACACCTCGACGTCGCGCACTGTCGACCGTACCATATTACGTAACATATCATACGTGTAAAACGTATGTAAGCCCTTGTACATAAGCCACGGGGCCAGGCGCCAAGTATCCATCATGATGCAACACGCATGTATCATTCTACCACGGTACGATTAGCGAGTCATGGTGGATTCAAGCCTGATGTGTCCACCCATCTCCCCTTCGGACAATTACAGGATAGTGTGGTTATCGAAATAGGTCTCTGTGAGTATCTGGGACTGGGTGTAAGCACACTGACCTACTAGAGTTCCCATAATATTACTACATAATTAGTAGTAGTACCTGTCCGGCCGAGTGATACTCAAGCACAACTTGGTATCACTGCGTAACAGTCAAGTAGACTCGGAAGTCGGCTGTCGTGAAGTGTCGGGGGTTATCATTGTACACGCAGCGCAGCTTGAGCGGCGATTGCTCGTGAAGTGAAACAATTAATTGCAGGGAACCAAAAAAATCCCGACGAGGACGTGAAGATTGCATCGCTTCGAGTGCATAGGCTACAGAAGTTCTAGTAGTAATAACACAGCCGGTCACTTCACATCTAACACCGCTTTCTTTCAAATAACTTTAACATTCTCGACAACAGCGATGTGGTGTACACCTCCATGACTTATCCTAACATGCTCCAGCTCGCTCTGCATATCATATTATCCTGTATCCTGAGTTTCACTGTCGCCCAGAACCCAGTCGATACATATGCTCCGACAGTCAATGTGAATTGTCCAGACACACCCAACTCGCTCGTGCGGACCTTCACTTCACAGACTCAGGTTCTGAACACATCAGAAACGGATTATATTGCGTCCAGGGAGTCCTATATAATCTCAAACGCGTGGTCTAACTGGCTTGGCAATGCGTCAGATATTGGATACGACTTCGAAAGTTTGGGAGGCAAATTTCCCAGAATTGGCATCGCCGTCGGAGGCGAGGGATACCGCACGGCACAATATGGCGCAGCAGTATTGTCAGGGTTGGATTGGAGAAACACTACCGCCAGAGAGGCGGGGACCGGAGGACTGCTGCAAGTCGCGTCTTACCTCTCGGCTTCGTCTGGTAAGTATTCTATCGGACAAATGCTCATTGCCCGCTTCGATGACACTCACCACCGTTATCTTAGGTGGTTCATGGCTACTCGGGTCACTTCTAATGAATGATTGGCCCTCAATCAATGAACTAGTTTATGGGAATGCAGAAAATCTTTCGTCATGGATGGTAGACCTTGACTTAATCGTGCCATCGTCGCCATCAGTCAGCGATGGAAGTAACCAAGAGTATTGGGGCAGTATCCTGGCGAGTGTCGAATCAAAGGCAAATAATGGACTGTACGTTACTTCACGGGAACATTGTACATCAATCATCACGCTGATATCTGCCTTTTCAGTCCTACCAGTGCGACTGACCTATGGGGTCGGATGATTTCATATCACTTCTTAAACGAAACTACGCGAGGAAACTTCTATACCAATCAGACTGGCCACGGCGCTGGTCAACTATGGTCCCAAATGTCTCTCCTACCGAATTTTCAAAATTACACAATGCCATTCCCGATAGTAGCCACTGACTCACGCAAAGCGGGCTCAGGGATAACCACGAATGTCCCCCTGAATTCAACTGTTTATGAGGTCAGTACTTAACACATAAGCGCAGGAACGCATTTAGACATGAATGGTGTAGATTACACCTTTTGAGTTCGGGTCGTGGGATCCAAGTCTTTCAGCCATGCTACAGCTGGAATTTGCTGGGACTTATTTGACAAACGGTCTTCCGGCGAACCCATCAGCTTGCGTTGCTGGTTTTGATCAGGCGAGCTTTGTTATGGGTACAAGTTCCAGTTTCTTCAACGTATGTCATGTTATTACCTGGGAATTCCTCTGTTCTCGACCTGACTTACTGTTGCAGGCGGTCTTGAATGACACCGACGGCAACTTTGGGTTTGATACCTCTGATGGAGATGAACAAGGCATGAATTTTATTTTCAATCAGTTGTTATCGCATACGCCTTCCAGTGTCATGAATGCAGCCAATTGGCCTAACGTTCGTATCATTATCTCGACTCGCAACATCCACCTGACTGTATCTACAGCCATTCAAAGGTGTCAATCCTGGGACTTTTCAAGACTCATCTGCGGACCAGCTCGAACTTCTTGACGGAGGTTCAAACTACGAGAAAGTTCCCCTTAGCAGCCTACTTGTTAAGGCTAGGGGACTGGATGTAGTAGTCGTCGTTGACGGTAGTGCGGATGATCAAAACTATTGGCCAAAGTGAGACCTGCCGGCAATGTACGATGAATAAATACTAACTCCTGCCAGTGGTACATCACTGCTAACTACCTTCGAGCGGATATCATCAGTGCTCTCGTCTTCGCATCAACCGATGCCACCCATACCTGGAACTGCTGCCCAGTTTGTTTCCACAGGCGTCAATATGCGCCCAACGTTTTTTGGTTGTAATCTCACCCAAGGTCAACCGGATTACCCCATCATCATATATCTCCCTAATGCGCCTCCGTTTGATGGACACGCGCCAGCCACGAAGTACGCCACGCGTCTTACATCATTCAAAGATAATGCTGATATCATTTTTGCAGCACTGATGATACACAATTTTCCTACACATCCAAGTTCACGGCCGTGTTCATAAATCAAGCGTTCTGGAATACCTTGGCTGGCTTCGAACCAAAAGCAACTTCCTCTGATCCGAATTGGGGGCGATGCTTGCAATGTGCGGCAATTGATCGTGCAGTTACTCCACGATCAGATATCTGTTCGCAATGCTTTGCGCAGTATTGCTACGATCCAAACAATCTTACAAGCCTATCAGAACTCCCAGACAGACAATTTATATTCGTGAACCCCGATCCTAGCGGTCTGCAGAAAGTTAAACAATGGTTAGAAGGCGATAAGAGTTTATTGGCAGGGTTCATTGTTGCCATCATAGTGGGTATTGCAGGGATTGTCGGTTTCATGTGAGTGATCACAGTTATTTGGACCTGATGACTTAGTGATTGTACATAGTTTCTGGTGGCGGAGGAGGAGAGCACGCTTGTCTAGGTATTCTCGTGTCGACGAGCTCCGAGAGGATGACGAACCTTGGAAGTACTACGATGGTAACTCGTTGGAATTAACGCGTCGAATGTCAATAACATGATACTCTGAGGTTATCACTGCACATCTTTCCTGCATCACACACTATGCTTCATGTTGTACTACTGGACACTGGTACTGTTGTCATTATATACCCCGGAGTCGCACTAATAACACGTTAATTAACACGCTCTCGATAACTCGATGCGACCGTTTATATAGTACACATCGTAGACAAATCCACGCCGTGATCGATTGATCAATTGATGAGATCGTTGGAAGGCGACGCGGCGCACTTCCTGAGCTCGGCGGTCTTCCGACTCCGTGAGAACCGTATCTATTCATTGCTATCAAGTGATATATGCACTAGTAGCTACGTTGGCCTCACAAAGCTTGCAAGTGCTGTTTGCATATCAATTATCAATTATATTCCTTATTCGCCGCCATCACGCGTCCCGCTTGACTCTTGCCTTCTAACGCCGTCCTTCCGTCATGCGGCTGTCAAGAGTCGTTCGAAGGTACACCACTCTGAGGAGTTAACGTGAAGCATCTTCTGCTCAACATAAATTACACACTACCTCGAGCTGTGAACCGCGGATGGTTGGGGACTATCACCAGCAACCAACTTTACTGCTAGGGCATCGGCTTGAAATCCATGAAATTCGAGCATGTAAAAAGATTACATAGGACCTTTCGAAGATATCCCTTTGCAAGCCCTTACTCTGCGCCGACAACAGCGGCTTGGAGCCCCCTGTGTGGAAAAGGAGGGAAGAAATAGCGGATGTACCGTCGAACTTTGATATCACAGGATAAATTGATGGTGGCTGGCGTATTAGTTACCTACTAGTGAGTGTAAATTTTCTCCTTCCCCCCGTCCTGAGTCCTCATTATTGCATTGCGTTTACCTGTGAAACAGGTAGACCATCAACATGGCAACCTATGGTGACCGCCGCAAGCAGATTGAGATACGATATTCATTCTCAAACTTCAAGGGCGTTTTGACCCCATAGTTCAACAAAAATAATGATATTGTCCACTTAGGTGAAACAAGATCTGAACATGGTTTCACAAGCATACTTATAGCTATGGAACATCTTCAAGCAAATTCCTTTCCGCATGAAATTCCATTTACTCGCCCTCGGTATCAACCTCCCCGAGAGTTTTGCTATGGCATCTCGTTGACTTTTCTCTTCTCTTTCGTGTCCTCTAATTCATATTCGGCCACGTTGCACTCGCTCCTATAAAAATACAAGCGATAGAAGTTAGAACTTGCACCTCGAGCAATGACCGAACTCGTGCACAAATCGGGAGTCGCCGACTCGGAGGACCATCACCATTATCGCTGCACGGCTCCTGTCACAAGAGTACCCATTCTGAGAGGCCCGCGGCACGAGTGAAGAAGTCAAATACCTGTAACAGCCCCCATGCCTGACAACACTCAGTACTTGACCAGATAGTCATGCTGTCGGTACTGAGAGCACTTACATCCTTTCGGATATGTTTCTGCAGCATCATGTTGTTTTGATGGCGTAAATCTCAGGGGACTTGCAGCTGGTGAGGTGTACCAATTTGCCGTCACACAATACGCTGATACTCAGTTGGGGTGGTGAACTATGCACTTGTGTGCCGATAATTGGCATCTGGCTGTGGTAACAACGTGCTTTGATTGTTCCACATTGTACGCTTCCACAGATTCCCCCCTCATGTTAGTCACCCTCGTGATTGACACCACATGCCATGGTACAATTTGACCACCGCGATCACACTGTGGGTGCTTTAAGACAATCAGCCCATCCACAGCTCAACATTTCAAGATGCGCTGTGGTCCTGCCAGACAACTCTTTAAGTAGCACGTCTGCTCAATCCCTTCTTCCCATCGTTTCACCCTTCTCCTCATAACTAGTCATTATCAAGCTGCTTGGCAATTATTCCTGTCTAGGCTCAAAGGTCGCTCTGAATTTTATTACTCCTTCATCTCTATCAGCACCCCAATTATCGAGTGCTTTGCCCGAAGTGCCAGACGTCATGCCTCTCCCCGTGCCTCCCATCTCTCAGATCGTGGGGGGAATCAACATCAACGCGGCATATTTGACTTCAGATCCTCTTCACCCTCCTTCTCACTTCGAGCTGGCCAATCCTCCAGGTGCAGAGGTATCCATCCCGCAACTCCCTCTACTGCCATACGTGAACGGTCCCTTTCGTATCTGGCGCCCTCTGTCAGCGGGAGGTTTTGCCAGCGCTATCGGAGCTGAAGACATAGCATCAGGTCGCTTGCTGTGCCTCAAGGTTTTTAGGAAGGATACACTCAAGTACCATGGTACAGGAAAGGGTCTCCTGAAAGAGTTGGAGGTTTACAAGCGTCTTGCGTCCTCGAGGCAGTGCTGTCCTGCAACGATATTCTTGATGGAATTAGAGATGTCCTTTCAGACAAAGAAAAACGTTTGTTTCGTCATGGTATGTGCTTCTCCCCTGTGCGCCATTTGAGCTGTTTTAATCTGTTGCAAATACTTAGGATTTAATGGCGAATGATCTAACATACTATATGGACAACGAGTCTGCACATTGCGTCAAGAATGCTCGCAGGTGGAGCGCGCAACTAGTAAGTAGCTGTTGTTCTTGGTTTTCAATGTCTCACCACTCCCTCTGAAGGCGCTTGGCATCAATGCTTTACACAACATGGGCATCATCCATCGTGATATCAAGGCGGAGAACGTTCTGATCGATATACGACAGAACGTGCGTGTTGCTGACTTCGGGCTCAGTTATATCGGCGAGCCAAAACCCCTGAATCCATGGTGGGATTATTCATCCAGCGTCAAGGGAACTGAACATTGTATGGCGCCTGAAATCCTGCGCAACGTGGAAGAACCGGATTCTATGAAATATGGGACGCCCGTAGACTGGTGGGCATTCGGATGTGTCCTGTACCAGCTTGTTTTGCCGCCGGCCCATAAGGTACGTGCTGTGTCTTGCTTAGTCGCTATCATACTGATATAACCCCGCCAGGAGCTCTTTGATGGGAAGGACTCCATAATGAAGTATGTTGCTTGGCACTCTGAGCATTACGGAACATTCGACTTGTTCCCCGCATTTCATCAACTTGATTCCCTTGTGGCTGATTTACTCGTAGGGGTAAGCTTTTTACTGTCTATGTTACAACACTGTCACTTACCTATACCGTGATAGTTGCTCCATCCCCTTTCCATAATGCGGTACGGGTTCCGACAGATTACTAGCCACTGGTATTTCTTAAACGATGATGGCACATCGGAATTTCACGGGGCCTGCTCTCGCGGTAGGTTAAATTTGACTTATCTGCGGAACATCGTACTTATAACTTATTGCAGCTCTCCAGCGCGAAGAAGAGCCAGAGATGTTACCGTACTTGTGGGATGAGGAGACTAGTGCTCAACCAGCAAATATCTGGTGCGCCCAACCTTCTGGGTTGTTTACGCTTCCAAATGTAGATTGGAGAAAGCCTGGCAGGCCATGAATCGTTTCTTTCCTAGTATGATGCTTCCAGTTTGTAACGATTTCATCATGACTTTCTCTATATCAAGCTCTTGATTCTACTGCGCCTCCCTTCTTGCTACAAGGAATTCACATTCATTTATGTACCTTAGCGTCTGTAGTTTCTATGTTTCTGTTTTCATACATCCTCAACACTCTTTATTCTATTGTTTGTTTCTTATCCCAAGAAGTTGGTGGACTGAAGGCTTTATTCTCTAACGATAGCTGGTTCAGAAGATTGACTAAGATACAGGAGTAAAGCCGGGCGCGCATGATATTGCCAGAGTACGATGCTTGACTCAGGATATATCCTAGGCTATTAGAAGGTGTGTTGACCATGGCCAGAATATTCATGTTAGGCAATTTCCTCTATAATAGTGTTGCCGCCGAGGCGAATTGAATCGAGGTAGAAATCGACACAGATCGGACTAACGAATTGAAACAATTTGCACCTCGTTCACCTCGCGATTTGGAAACGAGTTCGGAGTTATACAGACCGATAGTCCAACCAATGAGAAGCTAGGGATTTTGCGTGCCCACAACGACCGTTGAACGACGATTATTTGCAAGTTACTAGTACACGACCAGCAATCATACTAATTATAATCAATATCTCTTGCATTCTGGAGTAACTCGTTAAGCTCGCGAAGATTCCCAGCAGCCATTAACTCGTCAACTGCTCTGAGTCACAGGTCCAGATATCGTGTAGTCCCGCTCGTCAGCCACCACTGGGTCCTCCATAAAATTGAGGCGGTCTTGCTTGTAAATGAACTTTAGGACTTGTAATGCTTCAAGTGTCGCCGGAGATAAGTTGCTGCGCCGTAGAGTGCAGGTCTCTTTGCTGGATGAAAATATGCGCTCGGAAGGCACAAATGAATGTGTATCTAAGGGTATCACTATGGTTAGGAAGCGGTATCGCTGCGCCCGCGCCCTCGCGCCCTGCCCGCTATCCCGACGCCAATGCTATCATGCACACATACACCGAGATCCCGCCGCTAGTCATCGCGCTCATTCCCACTGTCCTTGCCTTGAAGCATCAAAGAAGAGCTGATCTGTAGTAGTAGAAGGACCCAGTTAGTACAGCGGCCTGTAGAACCAGTAAGCACGATGACACTCACCTGTGCTGTGGCCTTTCGTTTGTATTCCTAGTGTACTGCATTAGCGCGGGAGGTTTTCCCTGATGTAGCACGTACCTCTTTGACATTGGTAGACAGGTTGTTCCAGTAGAGTGCAGATGCACTAGCCGGTTCACGCTGGTGACCATTTACTTGCCAATCGAGCGTACACAAATTTCTATGAAACAGATCAGAAAATACCTTAAGCAATATCAACTAAGAAAACATACCGAGGCGTCACTTTTGTGCCAATACGCATTGGTTTCACACTCGGTTGATGAGCCTTCTCCTTAGCGGGCGCAGGTATGTAGAAAGTAGAAGCTAACCAAATTTCGTATTGTGGCCAGGTGTGATGGCATCCGGATGAGCACTGATAGAGGGTTGTGAAGACTCGATGTCGAAGGAACGAAGGTGGACTCGAAGAGGTCAACTCGGGCGTCTTCACGTGCAGCACGGCGTAGAGCAGATGTAAGAGTGCTAGATAAGTCATACGAGTGTTGATAGTCGGCTATCAACGATCAGTTGAGGAAAGGAGCAGCAGTGCTAGTGCTAGTAGCAGTGCCGCCTGCTTGTACTGCTAGCGGGGGTGAGAGGTTATCTGATCTTTATATCTGTAGCTTGGGACTTGTGCCATGAAACCGGAGGCAGATCACGGAGTCGTCGACGCTTGGCTTAATGTATAGGGAGTGGAGACACTGGAACTTCGAGCGAGAATTCTGTGGTGATGAAGAAGATACTTGTCGATGCCTGCAGCAGGTTGTGATACAATGGTCGTAATCAATTGATTGCCGTCTATTTTCGAGCAGGTAAAGTAGATAGCACCAGCAGTGCGTATCATACGTAGGCTAAGTCCGTAAATGTCAGAAGAGTTAACGCACCAAATGATTCAAGCAAGCTGACACGGGTCGGACTGGGTCCCCGGTCCACCACAAGATCATCGATAACCTCAAACGTCTCGACTGGTCTTGTTGCGAAACACATGATCTCCTTGTCCTTCGAACACTTGCCGCCCTCCGAGGTGGTAAATCTGCCAGACCAACCACATGGTAGACTGTACAAGTAAATCGCATGGGTAGGTTGACACGAATACCTGCGTCGATGGCTGAGTAACCGGGAGTTATCAAGGTGAAAGTGAAGAAGGAGTTGATGGTACCGCAACCTGCTCCGTCGAAGACTCTGTGAGTTACCTTTGATTATATATGTGCATATAATTTTGACTAACCTGTTTACTACATAGTTGATTGTATACCATCTCGTACTTTGTTATGTGTTTCTGATCGATCGTGTTTGTTGCATGATGAGGATACTACCTTTCACGTGCTGTTTCGTGGTCTCCGCTCATGCTTCTCATCCGCGCTAGGACGCGATTCGTTGGAATTCCTGTTATAGGCTTTGGAGTATTCGGTGCCTGGACATAGGGAGGCCGGGGTCGCATTGCCTGCAAGTGTACTGAGGGAAATGGGGTTGAGGGAGCTTGAGCAGAAGGCCGCACGCATACCAAACGATCTCTGAAAGCTGTCGTATCAGGATGCCGAGAAGGAGAACGTCGCAGTCTTGAATTCCCATCGGTCCCAACGCCCTGCAGCGTCTATGCCTGCCAAACGAGCTTGTGTAGCTACTCAGCCACTTCACACTGCCCGTACATTACTAGTTGTTTGATCGCGCCGTTCATTTCGTTGTCTCTGCCATTGGTTTCTGAACCGTTGATCGATGATTTCACGCAGCTTCTCAATTTTTTTCATACTCGGCCTCGACTTCACGCTTTACAATTGTTTTCATGTAGTCTACAACCTGCTTGACTCGCTATCCTACGTACTTGTGATGCTTTGCATGTCCTCATTCAATTTACACGCTGCTACACCTCTTGATTCAACGTTTCAACCTCTACTAACCCGACCGAACATTTTGATCAGTGGTTATGCAACGGCGATCAGGCTTCAAGCTCAAGTTTTGCGGTGGGTTTATGTTGAGGTGGTCTGCATTGGGAACTGAGTACTGAGTACTGAAGTACTGATCCTAGACAACGCTGCTTTCCGCTTGCCATACGTATCGATTCGATGATCGACGATCAATAAACGCGTTTCCGGGCCCTTATGTGATAAAAACCAGTCACGTCCCATGACTTCAACAGAGCAGAGAAAATATAATATATAATCGTGGATATGTAACATGATCATAGAAGTTCGTCAGGATTTCGTGCTTTTCTGTGTAAGGGAAATAGAAAGAAGGCTCGGGAGAAGGGAGAAAAAAGAAAGAGAGGGAAGGAAGGAAGGAAAGTGGTGCGTCGCCAAGTGCAATAAACATTCAATAAAACAAGGAAAATGCTGAGCTACAGCGACGCGAGTAAAAAAAAAATGATGTGTATGTATCGCGATACTTTTAGCCGCAAGATGGAGATTGCCAGTGACGATCGACGTGTATGAATGCATCCATGAATGGGAGAAAAACCGCCTGTAGATGGTCAGATACATGGTCGAGGTCTGAGATCAACAAAGGGACATACCATAAAGGCATGCGACCATACCGCGGAGGAATGGACAGGGAAGAGTACGAAAAGATGCGAGTAGCTGCTTCATATAGAACCAGTCACAGAGCAAGAAATAATAGAACGAGGCAATAGTGTCAAATGGTAACACAGAAGCGATTACGTGGAAGAGTTTCGATGCAAGGACATACGTGGGGTGAGATGGAAGAAAAGGGTATCGTCATCAAAGTTTTGCCAATACACTTGGGCATTGAAAGTCATGTTAGATATGTAGGGTATATTGGGCATGGGAAATCGTAACAGATGCAGGATGGGTGAAAGGGGTCATGATGAGGGCAATGCGGAGAGGGCGGAAAGAGAAAAGATCGCATAATCGGCCAAAGGCGCCATCGAGACGTAGAGCAAGGATGCGATAGAACTTGTGGGATAGTGCACAACATTGGGATGTGAAGTGCGTTGCATTGACCTGTAATAAAAAAACAGGAGAGCTTGACCAGCATCACAACACTCAAAGAATTTGTGCTCGCGAGCCTACTGCTCTCCTGTAATATTCCTCTTCCTCGTATCCCATGTACCCACTACCCCTACAGACCGCCATCTAAGACACCCCGAACATCTCTTACTTCGGCAAGGTCCGAAAGGAAAGGACAAAGATCGGTGAGTTCCGTGTCATGTGGGTCATTGAACCACGATGAGACAGGGACCGCATTGTTAGGGTGAAAAATGTATGATGCTGGAGAGTTGTCCAGAATAATGGTGTCCGCAATAGGACGGCCCAATTGAGAAAGATCCTACATAGAGCAAGTTAGCGACAAAACATACGGGAAATATGCTTCTATTACCTTGACATAGTTCCCCTTGTGATTATAACAACTCTCTCTGAATAGTCGATGTGACACCACTTGATGAATGTCCAGCTTATCTAAAACTGGGTCTGCATACTGCACACGATAAAAATCAGTCAATAATATCAAGGAAATAAAAATGACCCCTCGAACCTTGCTTAAGCTAGCAGTAAAGACCACCACCTCGTAAATTTCGCCCATCTTCTTCAGGAAATTGTCGACCCCCGGGCGCTTGATCACGTACACATTGTGCCAATGATACTCAATTTCCACTGGAACAACGTAATCCGCGTGTTGAATGGACTGTAGAGCGGCCGAAAAAACGTGTCAGAAGCAGCACTAGATCGAGAAGCCGAAAAATCCACCTTAAAACTGCTGTGTACAAGGGTCTCATCCAAGTCGAGAACGAGGCACTTGCGCCCCACGTGGTGGGGGGCTATCGGTGGCAGGAGCGGGCGCAGTTCGCCATCCTTATTTTGAAACCAAATCAGTGTTAGCGTCATCAAGAGGAATTAAAAAACTCACAGGCCCTATCGGAATACCTGCACCTCCATTGAGGATCAGAGCATCTTCGTCGTCTTCCTCCATCGGTTCCCCTTCTTCCACTTCGGGCTCCTCCGGTTCCCCGTGACCCTCTTCGTCCGTGAAGCTACCCTCTGAATCGGTTGCTGTATGTGAGGTATCTCCAGCATGTGATGGGGTACTTGCAGATGGTGTGTGTGATACATCTACAGGAGTTGATAGTGAGGGCGAGAAAATGTCTGCACCAGTCGATCCTGGAGGTTGGACTGCTCCGCTGGTCACCCCCTCTGTTTCAGATATTGGGAGGAGAGTCTTGGTTGGTGTGGGGGGTACAATAACCTCGATTTCTGCGGGGTCGGTTTCCGTTGCAGGAGGGGATACCTCTACCACAAGATTTGGCTTTTCCCGTTCCTGTTCCTTCACTTCAACCTGCTTTTCGCTAGGCGCACTGGTATCGGCTACGGGCGCTGAGGCACCGTTGACCGCGTCAGTGGCCTTGGGTCGCGTGGTGTCGTCGACATCGACCTCAATCGCATGTGTACGATCATTGGGAGCGACACATGGCACGAGTTTGCGCACGAGTTTGGCGATGAATGATTCCTTTTTCTGAGAACCTCTGACAGACTTATTTTCGTCTCTGGTATGATTATTGGAAGTAGTCTTCTCGCGTGCAGAGCTAGACGAAGCAGTTGAAGATTTAGTAGTTTTTGACGCAGGTTTGACCTTTCTGGAAAATCGACGAGCGGTGCTAGACGTAGCGCTGGTAGAAGTTGTATTGGGGTGGGTCTGGGTTGTCGTAGCTAAAGAACCCTTGTCCTTGTCTTTCTCCTTTTCACTGGGCTTCACGTTTTCGCGTTCGCCTGGTAAACCGAAGGTAGAAACGGTGTTAGAAGGGTTTGGGTTAATATCCTTGTCCGCTTCCGAAGACGATGTGGGTGACTGCTCGTGCGCTTGCGCACTAGTGTCTACGCCTGCAGAGCCATTCCCGATGGCTGGCGTTTGAGACGCCTGCTCGCGCGTCTGAACGTCCTTGTCGTCCGCTAGTGGCGAGTCTTGGGATGCCATGGGATGGAAGACTAGAACAAGCTGTGAAAATAATTGGTAACTTTTCAAACCTAATAACAGTAATGATGCTTGCGGTATTGAAAAAGCTTTTGGGTATGCTGGGGAAAAGGAAAGAGAGGAAGGATGAAGGACGAGAAGGCGGCCAAGCAACACACCACAACAACATGCGGATACTGTCTGCTTGTACGTTATAACATTCACACGCGGTAAAACACACGCTGTCTATATAGTACCATGTTTGCATTCAAATTTTGATTAGACTCCGCAGGCTGCAATATATAATGTTCTCACTGAACTTTCATAGGTAAGGCCTCCAGGGTACTTCGGTTATACGAGAAACGCTTATTGATGACCTCTCTCCGATCACCCCGCGAGCATGTCAAGTCACGCAACTTAAGTCTAAGCCGAGGTGAGGTATTCCTTCAATAATAAATAAATCACAAACTAATCTTGGATCGACTGTACACCGCTTTTCTTTGATGCAGCTCCATTCAGTCGTAGCTTAGATAGCTTGAGTCAGCTTTGAATTACTACATGAACCATAACAATGCAAAGAACTCCACAAACACGTCACAGCCCATCATTGGTCCTCCTCATCATCAAAACCTGTCTCAAACAAGTAATTGGCTGCCAGTTCCTCATTCTTATCACACGCCAGATATGCCTCAGCAGCTTTCTGGCGCGAGAAACCCAAAGCCTCCAACTATAGCCACGTACAATAAGTGCAAGTTCAGGACGCGTGTGGAGGGAACTTACCCGACCAATCGCAGCCTGCTCCTCCGGCGTAACATGTATTACTTGTGCGCCGGGTGGCACAGCACCATCGCCTTCACCCTCCCCATTTAGCAAATGCATTAATGCTTCAGGGTTACTTTCCAATAGTTGTCCAAGGTGTGGATTTTGCTCCATAATTTGCTGAACCAACGGCGCAAGCAGATTTGGGTTGGTTTGGACTAGCTGGCGCAATTGCTGAACCTGGGGATGGTTTCGAAGGGCCTCTAGATCAATTTCACCAGCTCCAACTCCCGCACCGGCGGTTGCTGTACCTCTGCCACCAGGCTGTTGCTGCTGCTGTTGCTGCGCAAGCTACGTTTGCGTTGATGAGAGTCCGGTTGAAAAATAAATCAGGGTACTAACTTGAAACAAATTCTGGGGTTGACCAGTTGGGGCTGCTGGGGCAGGTTGGGCTGCAGGTGCGGTAGGTGCAGGTGCAGGTGCGGCGGGAGTAGTAGGTGCTACACCTCCCGTCTGCGCTGGTCGCGCAGCAGGGCCTGCTGCTTCATGCATGAGATGCGCAGGAATGCCCTGTGGTTTAAATGAGTATCAGACAAATAAAATGAGTGATATTGAACTACCGTCATCAAGTATTCGACAGCACGATCAGGGTTGTTGAAACTGGCTCTCAGAGCGCGAATGACTTGTTCACGTTCAAAGCCCATCTCAACCATATTATTGATTGTCGACTGGAGCGCTTCTCCAGTCAAAAAGCTGCCGTCAGCCGTTATAGGTGCTGCCGCGGGGGCAGCAGGAGGCGCAGATGGCGCAACAGGTGCTGGTGCTGGTGTTGCAGGAGCTGGTGCTAGAACCTGAGGTGCTACTGGGGCAGGTGCGGCAGCCTCGGGCTGTGGCGTCGATGTCGAGGCAATTACCGGGGGAGGTTGAGCTGGCGTAGGTTTAGACTACGATCACGGTGAACTTGACATCTGACAGGTGGAAACCACTGCAAACCTTCGAAACCATCAATACCAAAAAGTCCTTTTCCTTGATCTCGCACGATGCAACTGTCTTGTCATCTGTAAGAATCTTGCCTGCGATGCCGGATGAACACTGTGATGCTGTGAAATGACTGCAAGGCCATACCAGAAAAGATGAGCTTTTGGCTCTCTACAGAATGGCCCTGTGTGTTTGATATCTTCTGCTTCAAATCCGCGATGGTTTCTGACCCCTCGGCTTCGAGCTTTATTCGCATAAGGGATTGTTGAGGACAACAGGTAACGTTACGCACCTGGAACATCTTCTGCTGGAGCGTCTTTATCGTTAACTTCATGATGGGTAATTAATGATCTGATACGACTACGATCAAGATTTGGTCTTTGAGCTTGTCGATGTCTTACTGATGATGATGAGCTTCAAGAGCAGACTGACGCGTTTTGATCTTGTCACGATATGTTGTCACGAGGTTATGTCACAGAATGGGGTATGCGGGGTCCTACTTAGACAGGTTTCCGCTCGGCTGCCTGGCTGCCTGCTGGTCATAAGGCCTATCTTTCTATTCACCGTAGTCATCATGGAACCACAGCCAGGTGACGATTATCTGCGCAGAATCGCAACATTCATCAGAAACAATGAGATGGGACTAGCAGAAGCTGGCTTCGTCCGAAGAAGGCGTATACAGCGTCCCTCTACCAATAACACCTCTGTCTTCAATCTCGCTGGTTGGTTTTCTTATGATTCACAAATGCCATCGCCTGTTCTTCCGAAACCTGTTACATTCAATATCGACACGCACAGGCTATTTTACATTCTTATGCGCTTAGAGGCGCTTGGAATTGACATTGGCACATTAGATGTGAGGGTCGACAATCCCTCAAAGCCGATGCATTACACGCACATCGATCTGTACCCTTATTCTGACAATTCCGACACATTGTCTCTCGCGTCATTTCGCTCGTCCCTTTCAGCCGTATCTGGTTTGTCACTTGGAGTAGGGTGGTGGGGAAGACAGGAGCCGCAAACCATAGATGCAGAGCTCAAGTATATTTACAGCTCTTTTACAAAGCTCCCTGCTCTATCCATCAGGGCACCGGGCCCGAAAGTCATCGCCGAGCTTGCAGATGAACCACCCAACCAGAATGCACTCCCACTTGACGCATTCAAGAATATTCAGACCTTGGAGTGCATTGATATAGACCCACGGACATTACTTGGGTGGGATAGGCTGGCGGAAAGTCTACGGAGTTTAACAGTTCAGCGCAGTGGCCTGGAGGATGTCACTGATATCTTTATTGGTGCCGTATTGGATGACCAGGCTCGAAGAGATGGTACCGCGAGCGACTTGAGAAGCAGACGCATACCTCGTTCACAACGCTCTTTCCAGAGTACTCGCCTACCCGAGTCCGTTCCCGAAGATGATGAAGACGATTTAACACCTCCTGTGCCTTCACCTGCTGCTCCCCTCTCGCCCTATAAATGGTCATTATTGAAGCACTTATCGCTGGCAGATAATGCTCTCGCTTTTCTTCCCACTGATCCCTTACCATACCTCACCTCGCTTAGCTATCTCGACCTATCGTCTAACCTCCTCGTGTCTGTGCCGCATGGTCTTGCCACACTGCACAACCTCGTCTCCCTCAACCTCTCCGATAATATGATTGATTCAGTCCTTGGTATTTACACGCACCTTGGCCAAGTTCTCAACATCAATCTCTCCCGCAACCGGCTTGAATCGATTTGTGGCTTAGAGCGTCTAATGGCACTTGAGCGCGTCGACTTGCGCTCAAACCACATAGAGGAGAGCGCTGAGATTGGGCGACTGGCAACATTACCTAACATCATGGAGGTATGGATTGAAGGGAACCCGCTCACCGAGTACGAGGACAACTACCGCACCGCATGCTTTGATCTTTTCCTGAAGGAGGACAAGGACATCAAGCTCGATGGGGCATCACCAGGGTTTTATGAGAAGCGCAGTCTCAGTGCATCACTGTCTGACCAGCCATCATCAGTAAACACGGTTGAGACTCTGCCCTCTCCGCCTGTCGTACCAGTAGGCAGTCCGAAGGCAATGGTACCCTCTTGTACAGTGACGCATAATGCCATGGACACTCCGCTATCTGGACCCTCGTCGCCGTCTCATGGTTCTCCTCTGCTAACAGGTGCTGTTGTAGGGAAGAGAAAGCGGAAAGTCAAGCGCATCGTCGACCTGGCCCCCGTGCACGGAACAGGTGAGGCACTTCTTTAAATATTTAGCATTCACCAGACTGACCGTGTTTTAGATGGTCAGTCTTATTCCTCGAATAAAGGAGGTACTGTAGCGCCGCCAGGAATCTCTGTTGGCCCTGCGAGCTCGCTGCGCTCACCGTCTGCCACTGTTCGTATACTACGTCCACATTCACCAAATGGCAAATCAAGCTACCAAAGAGCGAGCACGGTATTTGATTTACCAGACGAGGGTCAGAGTCAGAGTCAGATACGAGATGCAGAGCTCTATCGAGCGCGGATGCAAGCCCTACGTTCTGACATGGGAGATGGGTGGCTAAAGGTGTTCAGCCAGAGTCAGACGCCATCACCAGGAGTTGCTGCGGGTTAGATTTCTTATCATGCTGGTAATTTAGTAGGATATACCCATCTTGCATGTATCCATCGGTCTGGACTCTTCCATCAATATTGTACTATCGATTATCTCATTACATATCACTACACTGGCCGTGGTCCTATCCCTGCTTGACTCTTATTTTAAGTTCTTCCGCATTTCCGGCGAGGAAGCACGAATACAACTAGCAATATAGCGTGTATCAGAAGCGGGTTTTCATTTCATCACTGGAAGCTGCTCGAAGCGATGGTCGTACATGGAAGGCATTTGCAAGGAGGTGTTCGGGGTCTGAAATGGCGTGTGTTTACCTCCAGTGTTTCTTTTCCTGGTTTACCTGCTTTCAGTCTTTCGATACCATTGCTTGTGGCACTAAACCCGCCTCTGTCGCTCTTTACCTTTGAATCTATATATCATCATGGGAGCTAACTTGTCAAAGGCACTCGGTGAGTGTTTTGTCCTGGGCGTGGTCGAAATGATGTCTATCGTGTGTAATTCCACTGAACGGCATGTCTAACAGGCAGATTGTTCGGCAACAAGGAGATGAGGCTGCTGATGCTTGGCCTTGACGCTGCGGGGAAGACAAGTGAGCTGACTTTGTCTGTTCGCTTGCCGTGTTGAACATTTTGCCGCAGCTATTCTTTACAAACTCAAATTGAACCAGTCCGTGACTACCATACCTACGGGTAAGTACCCGTGTACTATGGGTCAGCTTGAAAACTCACGATGCGCATTTAGTTGGCTTCAATGTGGAGACCGTCACCTACAAGAATGTGAAGTTCAATGTCTGGGATGTTGGAGGCCAGGACAAGATCCGACCGCTGTGGAGACATTATTACACAGGCACCCAAGGGCTTGTGTTCGTCGTCGACAGCCAAGACCGAGAAAGAATCGATGAAGCAAAGCAGGAACTGCATCGCATATTGAGTGATAGAGAGATGAAGGAATGTCTATTGCTCGTGTTTTCGAACAAACAGGACCTTCCCGGAGGTACAGCGACCTTTTTGTACTATTGGATAAAGGCTCATTTCTTCTACAGCTATGTCTCCTGCAGAGGTAACAGAAAAATTGGGTCTCCACCGTATGCGGGATCGCTCGTGGTATGTCCACCCAAGGTCAATATTTCGTTCGCTCCGGGAGAACGTTGCTTACTCCATTACCGCAGTTGTGCCACGACGGGTGAAGGATTGTTCGAAGGCCTTCAGTGGCTGAACCAGAACGTGAAGAAACGCCAGCCATGAACGATACAGCAGAATACGCAAGACCTTGATACCCTCGTCCATACCACCTACTTCGATTCAGCTGTGTCTTCGCCTCGTTGACACCCACGTTATGCTCTCTATTATGGCCTGCACGACTCTGCATGTATGACAGACTACCTATTCTATGTCTGAGCTTGTCTTCTTCATTCAGCCCTGCCTTTTTTCTTGCTCTGTTCTAGACTCATCTGAGCGCTTTTCTGTTCTTCGGGTGTCTTTATCTCTACATCTTAATGGATAGTTTTGCTCTTTGATGTGACGATATATTCCTCTTCATACATGATTACCGTATAATTCGCCATATGGGCATAGCGAGCAATGAGGATATCGATAACCCGCATTATAATTGAATTCACTTGCCAAGTCTCACTGTAAATTATAATACCCAGGAATATCGACACATGATGACCTTTAAATGCCGTGCTCGCATCAGATGATCAGGCCCGCTCCATTCTCTCATGGATGACTACTAGTGTGCACCACCTCTTGCGTAATTGTTTCTCTCTGAATTATCATGCTATTGGCTTTGCGACGGACTATTGTGCAACAAACTAGGGGATTTGCGACCAACAACATCGCTGTTGACGGTTTTACCGGTGCAGTGGGAAATACACCATTGGTGAGGAATCACCGCGCAACAACAGTGGAATCCTTTCTAACACCATGACCAGATCTATCTCAAGACGCTCTCGGAGCAAACGGGAAGCAAGATATATGGAAAGGCTGAATTCCAAAATCCTGGAGGCAGCATTAAAGACCGTGCCGCTGTTGGTATAGTTCTGGATGCGGAGGAGAAGGGTCGGTGAGTGGGAGTAGCACGTAGCGCGATAAGTACTAACGTCGAGGATGTACGCAGCATAAAGCCCGGTGGAACCGTTGTCGAAGGTACCGCAGGCAACACTGGTATTGGTCTTGCCCATGTCTGTAGAGCCAGGGGTTACAAATGTGTTATATTCATGCCTAACACTCAGGTGAAGTACAGCCGACTACCTGGTTACTATCTTCTTTACTGATGCTTTGGCACTCAGAGCCAAGAGAAGATTGACCTTCTCAGAATGCTCGGCGCCGAAGTGCACCCAGTACCTGCGGTGCCCTACGAGAATCCATTGAACTATAACCACCAGGCGAAGGAGTATGCTGAAAAGCTGGAGAATGCCATATGGACAGACCAATTCGACAATACCGCCAATGCGTATGCACACTATATCTCTACTGGACCCGAAATATGGGAACAGACGAAGGGTGACATCGACGGTTTTGTATGCTCAACTGGTACTGGTGGCACTCTGGCTGGAGTTGGCAAGTATCTGAAGCAAAAGAACCCCAAGACGCAGATATGGCTCGCCGATCCGCCTGGCAGTGTCTTATACAAATATATCTCTAGTGGTGGAAAACTCGTTGAGCGTGGCGGAAGTTCCATCACAGAAGGTGAGACTTTTTCTATCTGGAGTCCTCATGGTTGAACATTCTATTCTGCAACCACACAGGTATTGGTCAAGGCCGTGTCACAAATAACCTGGGCACATTTGTTAATGACCTGTCGGGAGCTCTGCACATATCGGATGAGAAGTCAATATCCATGGTGTACCAGCTTCTTGATAACGAAGGCTTATACCTGGGTGCTTCCTCGGCCCTGAATGTCGTTGCAGCTGTTGAACTTGCTCAAAAGCTAGGCAAGGGTAAGTACAGAGGTCAACTACATTTCATTGCCCATGTTAAAGCTCGATTCTATCTATTAGGTTCCAAAGTTGTGACTGTACTGTGCGATGGCGCATATCGATACCAGAGTCGTTTGTTCTCCAAGAAGTGGCTAGAGTCGAAAGGGCTAGGAGATGCTATACCAGAATATCTGAGGAAGTACGCAGTTCTAGATTGATCAAATTGTTGTTATTACATTGATCTATCATGTTCTTGGAACTCTGCCGAGGGGCTGAGAGATAAGTAACAGGGCCATTCCGTATCAGTCCGTTTATGAGGTCTTTATCGTGAAAGGTTGTCGATGCAATATTCACCTCACGTAATGGATACAGGCCATGCATTCACTGGCAGGCAGTATGAAATTGTTAGTAGGTACAGCGAATTATTCAAGTATACAACATTGCATATTCACTTCCAGTTAAGCAATTTTTACGAAGGTACAGCAGGGGTCAGCCTTGAGGCTTTGAAAGCCATGAGCTTATGCATGGCAATTGGCCACCTTATTTCTCGCGTTTCCTCGGGACTGGTCGGTTTTATAGCGCGGCAAATACTGTCAGATAACGTTGCGCATTGTACCGTTGCACTCTGGATGACTTCTTCCATCTAATATCTGTGGAAGGGGCAACCTATGATTAAAATTCCATGGTTCACGATTGGTGCTCGTGTCTTGAGGAATCTGCGATCCATCAGCCGCAAACGCCCCACCTGTCGCTCATTTGTTGGCGTTTTCAGGGCGCACTTTCCAGCGTAGGTTACATCCATTTTGTCACCTGACAACGATACGCACCGCAAGAAGCACCACTGGTGAAAAAAAAACCCCTTTTGAGTTGGGCACGCAGCAAATAACACGACCTGATCTAATTTGCGTTGTGATATGTCAACACCATGGTTGAAAGAACGGCCAGACTTTGCATAGGTTGCGGGCACTACCCGGCCGTACTATGCACCCTCTGTGTTAGATACCTTCCCTTGTTGGATTCATAATTTTTTGACGAGTAATCTCTAAGATTTGAGAAGTGAACCGCTACCTCATCCCCAAACGTCGTGTTGATATATATCTTCAAGCGAAAGTCCCTTCGTCTATTTCAGTGTCGTCAAGAAGTTCAGCGATTAGGAAATTCGAGCGCGTTAGGCTTACTCTAGGAAATGTCACCATAAATCGTGACATGAACCTGCTTCAAGGAATACCACAGTCGAAAGCAACGGGCCGAACATTGAGAACGCCATTCCCTGCGAGCGGATGTGGGTGGTAAAGATCTCATAGCAGTACACATATAAAGTCCCATCCATGCATCCTGCATAGAAGAAGAAGAAGAACACGCCAAGAGATTTTCCGCTAAGCGATTATCGATGCCCATGTGTTCGGCGTATTCTAAGCCAAGCGTGTTCCTGAGGGTGACCATGTGTTCATTCATTCCAATGACTATATCGGTGTATAACAAAATGATAGGCAAGAGTCAAACAAACGTACTGAGGAGACGCACTCGTCCAACGAAATCCACGACGAAAGATGCCAGGAATGTTGCCACTGTTGCAGCCGTAACATATAGTGCACTGAGGATCTAAACCAATTCCCCGTTAAAGCCCAAGTCGTTATACAAATTACCCATGTAGTCTGTTCCGTGTGTCGACAAAACAGAGAATAGCATAGGAGGTATTCGAGACGACCATTACACCAAGTAGCTTGGGGAGGAACCCAATCATCATCCTTGTACGGTATGATGCCTTGCTATATGTACATCTGGCGGGCGCCACCTACAGCGATCCATGCATGCAAGCACATTTCTACGTGTTTGACCATTTGATGGAAATCTTTTTGGGCATATGAAACCTTGTCGGCGTCCGCAATATTTCCGTCGACATGAAGGCGGGAGATAATATCCTGACTTTCTGCATGGCACCTGTGCATGAGTACTTCATGAATTCATCAGCCGAGGAATCCTAAATACACAATAATCTAACTTACGCCAACGCGGGGACTTGGAAACCGACAGACAGCAGCAAAATAAGCCAAGGAGAAAGATACATAGAGAGCAAGACGGAAGTGCCACTGAAAGTTGAGTGCGGAGGAAAAGAAATTCCGCACACTAATCTAGCTTGCAATCGCATACCCGAAAACGATCCAAGCCCCTTGTATTGTATCATGGTCAGATCATTGGTTCGGGTGATAAAACGACAAATGCCATGTTGGCTAACTAAAAGGCCACGGGAGGAGAGATTTCTTCCTGGAAAATAGGTATGAGAAAAACGATCATTCCAATCCCACATCCAGTGATGAAACGTGCCACGAAAAGCAAGGCAACATTGATTGAGTCTGCTTGAAGGGCTCCGCCACTGATGCAAATCAGAGCAGCAGTGTTCATAGTAATCTTACAGTGACTGTGCTTGTCGTACATGTAACCAACTGTGAGGGCTGCAAGAATGCCTCCAGCAGAAAATAAGTCGCTTATTGAGCCTTTGCCAGCGAGATTGAAGTACTGAAGAAAACCAGGCTATCCGGATGTATTGAAGATAGCACTGAAGCATAGCCGTATGTGAGACTTCCGAGGGTCAAAACCAAAATAATCCGGATATTGATAGTGACCATCGTGCATGGTGAACGGTTCAACGTGGGCCGAGGAGTAATGAAGGCAATCCGAATCACTCGCGGTGACAAACTTTTTATGTCTCGATAAAATGCCATTTTATGACATGCCAGTAGAGCCAATCAGTGTCAGCTGAACAGCGGTGAAAGGTATCCTTGAATTGTTAAACGCTCGGAAAGGAGGAATGATGTCCGAGTTACTAACCGCTGCTGCTTTCATGCCACTATGAATGTCAATCATATACAGATGTCATCCCGTAGACTCGTAACCAGTCTGACTATGCGTCACCACTTGGAGCCATCCGTGGTAGTATAGGCCAGGCTGGTCACGAGTAGTCATCCCGGGGTAAACAAAGGAAAAGGTGTTAGATAATGGAGACCACTGTCGTCGTGACAAAATCACAACTGTGACAACACGCGTGACATACCGCGTTGTGTTTGTTCAGTCAATTAGGCCTTAGGAGCTCAAAGGACGCCCGCTTTCACCTTTCGCGTCGTGATGTCCGAGTCAATTCCTGTCCAATGGATATCGCAGTATATCATCAAAGTGGCCGAAACCTGTGGAAAGTCATTTACTGATGTCCCTCTCGAAGCCATATCACCTAGCAAGAAGAAGAGAGTTCAAATACTCGAAGTACATACTTCTACTCATTTTATGCTCTCTGCACTGACTGCTGCAGTTTTTAACATACAACCCAGACGCAGCAATATGGGGGAGAGTGTCCGATAAGGAATACAGTATTCCCGTGTGTTTCACTAAAGACGCCGTGTTGCAATATATGAAGTGAGTTGCATACTTGGCTCTTGTCAACTGCTATTCGACGTATTGCTACAGGGATTTGCAAGGTCGAAGGCTCACAGAAGCAAAGCATGCCATCTTTCTCATTGGGCAATTTCGCCCCATCTTCGTACGAATTCCTGTTGGAAATAATCGTTCGAATTCGAGCGAGGTCCCTCATATAGCTCTAGAAGCTGGTGTTGTTAAATTTGTTGGCTCTGGTTTAGACGTTTTCGGTTCGCCGCAGGATGTTGAAATGAACTCTCGAGTGAAGGCATGGGTCCGCGGACTCCGACAAGGCGGCAATGGCGGGTGAGTATCAATAAATCTTCGCATGAGCATTTTCTAAACTGCAACAGGGATGTCCTAAAGCGTGTTCAACAAAATGCAGCAGATTCACAACTCCAGGAAATCTGTCCAGCCATCAACCGTGTGGAAGCACCTCCCATGCTTCAGGCTCGGGAACCAGAACGCAATTCACCCCATATCTCGCCAGAACGTCCTGTCCGAAGGGCCGATCTGATGAGGGAATATCGCAAGCGCTGGGCAGTAAGTTTGTGGAATTCGTGAGAATTCGTTCGTTAAACCGTGTTTATCAGCATATCGAGAACTTGGAAGATATCTCGACAGCTACAATAGATCCTTGTGATGGTGACGATGTGCAAACGCTCGCTGGTGGTACGTGTGCAACTTAATACATACATCATAAGCTTGATTCACGCGTAGAACAACCTCAAATGGGCCAGCTTCCTGTTGAAGAGTGTGTACCTCCTGATGCTGTGGTCGTTGGTAAGCCCCACGTCACAACCACAATGTATCAGCGGGAGCGTTGACTATACCGAAATACAGTCGCAAGATCTCAACCTTGTACCCCACCGCGCACATGTACACGTACACCTGAGCAAGACATAAATGAGCAGACCACACCCAGAACCTCAGAATGGCCTTCATCTGCGCCCGGAAGCCCTACTGGAGTGCTGCCATCTCCAGCTCATGATAGAGACGACGATCTTCCAAATCACTGTGTGAACGCAGGAGCTTCTCCGGAGGAAAATGGTCCCTTACACGAACCATCCACACCCTCTGCTACTTCGCCCCTTCGCCCGCCCACACCCGCGCAGCGCATTAGACGGTCAAGTCTTCATCCATCCCCTTTAGATTCGTCCCCCATACCTGCACCACCTTCCTCATTTCCTACCCACATTCGTAGAAACATAAAGAGAAGAGTTCCTCACCCTGGTGTACCGCTGTTACCAGCCGATCACTCAGGTCCAACTCAGATTCTCGTCCCCAATTCTGATACTTCAGGAACTCAATCTCAGTCTCAATCTCAACCACAGTCGGAACCTTCATCACAACTGTTCTCCCAATCACAGTCACATCGACCCCCGTTTCCATCCCAGCTGACGCAAGAATTCAAGCCAGGACCAACGTCGACACCCGCTGCTGTCAAACAGAGCCTCTCTGGCACGGATCGTGGAGCTTCGTTAATGCCTCTAGATGACCAGCTCGGTCATTGGGGCGGTGATCGTGCTTCTTCTCCGGGTGTCATCAACTGGGACGTTCATGAGAGTCTCGGCCATGGCGATCATCAACCATCCGACACCAACCCAGATGCACATCGAGTCCTACAACAATCGACGACTGAAGATCCTGATACGATGGATGTTGACCCGGTCGATGGCATTGAGATTCCCGCTGCTGTGCATACCACTCCTTCACAAGTACCCGGAGACCCATTGGACAGACACAAACCCATGAGGGACACCTCACCGCAACCCTCCGATTCGTCTATGCATTCATTGTTCTCTGGTTCCCCTAGCTTTTCACTATCCCAGTCCGAAGTCATACCCTCCATTGTACCCCGAACAACCTCAGGCGAACCAACAAGTCAGGCCCCTTCACACGATGCAGAGGCTTGGAAGGCACCCAGTTTCATGAGCTCTCGGAAGGGTAAAGGCAAGGCTATAGAAGTGCTTGACAAGACATCCGGGATATACAAAAGAAGACGGGCGTCGCCCACATTTTCGTCTCCACTGGCTTCTCACAAGCGCAGAAAAAATGTGGTGGATGAAACGGAACCTGGGCCCGCAAGACCTGTCGATGAAGACGAAAGAGTAATATCCACCGTCCCAAACGGGAAGAGCAACCACGCCGTCGCATTGGATATTAAGCAGTCACACAAAGAGACTCCAAATACCAAACAATCATCTTTACGCAGGATATCCAAAGATTTAAGCCAAGTACGGGACGCGTTGCTCCCCCAGAGCAACGACAAGAAGCGCAGGATACGTTTGATGGGCTACCAGGTCGACTTTGAGAATATTCCTATCAAAGCTGAATCTTCCAGTCCAATGTTGAGCCTGGGACGTTTGCATGCCATCATGCTACGAACCGGAAGAGTACGGACGCTTGGTGACGTGGTGACCAAAGATGGAAATATATTTATGAAGTCTGATTAATTTGATGTCCTGTTCAAAATCCACGTTGATTAGTAGTAGGCAATATATGGGGAGTTGGATGCTTTGATGCTAACAACTATCTTGTGATTGATTCACTAAGTAGTACTGGCGATGCTTGAGGACAAAGTGTAGATGACCAAATTGAGGTTCTGCTTCAATTACTCTTCACGCGCACGTAGTATTATCGAGTACGGACAGACGTCCGCAGCCCTCCGCAGCCTGTGCCTGCATCACCAATATTCAGGTTCTGGCAGAAAGTCCCTGTCACACGTATGCACAGTACTTGAAATGAGAACGCTTAATCTCTGCAACCCAGTAGTGAACTTCAAAGTTCAGCATACCGTCTGATGTCAAGACCCTTCTAGGAAAAGCAAGCGCCACTGGACTGATGCAGCCGATGCGGCTGCACACATCATAATGGTGTTTGTTCTGGAAACAGTGTGTTTATTAGTCAACAATCATGTAATCATACTTGACATATGAGCGAATCGTTATGTACTTCGGTGCAAGGTAAAACATAGCGCATCTAGGGCGAAAGACAATCGGATTCCCCGAATGAGTAAATCCCACACTCAGGACTTCGTAACTGTTCCTGTGATATCGCCACCGACAACTGCAGAAGATTTAAGATATCCGAGATGCCTGTTGACCTCGGCCCATTTCTTGTAGAAGCCTACGGGGGCGTTCCAACAGTCTCGCTGGGTTGGAATTCGGTCGCTGTAAGGGAAGACGGAAAAAATGATGCGAGCGACAGTTTCAGCATCCTCTATATAAGACTGGGATAAGTCTAATTTTTGTAGGGTGGTATGCTGAAATGACTCAGCTGCCGGATCGATATCGATATTCACGGTGTCCATTAATATGTGCAGCGTATGCAGGTGGGGACATAGACGGAGCGCTGCGAATAGTCCACGGAATGTGACTGTAGGTGGCATTTGCGTGTCCACTAATTCCAGTGAGCGGATGTGCGGCCAACTTGACATGACTTCCAAAAGAAGGTCGTTGTCAATGTGGATGCAATGATGCAGATCGAGCCGCACAGTCCGGAGATGGGTGAAACAGAGAAGTTGTGTAACCGCTGCTGAAGAGTCAAACGAGGGCTCCTGGACCTTTGAAAGACGGGCGGCTATGCTGATATGTTCAAGAGTCTGATTTGCTTCGCACTGGGATAGCGCACGAAAGAGCTGCTCAGCCTCTGTGCAAGGCAAAACATCGGCAACCATCTCGAACTCTCTAAGCGAGGGGAATTCCGAGTGTTGCATGACTGTAATAGCGTACGCAGCCGTGTTTACATCGAAAGAAAGAGTCGTGACATTGAGGAAATGTGCGAAATTGACAATATCTCGGTCCAATGACCAACGAGAGGCACTGCGCGGTTCATAGACTGACACTTTAAGAAGGCTAGGGAGGTCGGAGAGGTGCTTCCATGCTACCCACTCGAGAGGTAGACAGGACAGAGTTACAAGCCGCTTGCATAAACGGACACTGTCAGACAGAAGGGTTCGATTATCTGCTGACTGCCGTTCCCATTCAGGTATCTTGAGATATAAGTGCTCCAAAGCAACACAACGGGTTGCAAAAGATTTAAAATCCAAATTAATGACAGATAGGACACAACGGCGCAGCGTAGGGGACAGAAAGAGATACAAGTATTTATGTTGAAGACGTCGAACTATAAAGGCCAGTGACAGCAGTCTCGGGAACATGCATGTCTCGATGGGGAGGATTGCGAAAAGGTGAAGATCCGCGCTGCATGATATATGTAATGAGCGCACACGGGCGGCGTGATGCAGAAATTGATGGGCTTCATGCTCAGATAATGGCTCCACGCCTTTAGACCAATCCAAGGAAAGCAGCTTTTTGGAAGCTCAGTGAGCCAATAAATAGGAATAAGCGCGACTAGTCCAGACTGACCTTCGAGCCAGTATGATATATCAATTGATGTAGCCTCGGCACACAGCCTAGCAGTGGTATTATGCCATCCAAATCAGCCCAAAGCAGATCCATTGCGGGCTCGTGAAAGGCTTTGCATGTCCTGGCAAGCGCCTCAAGGGATGGTTTCTTGCCAGTTTGTAGGCTCCGATTTTCATTCACATGCGCGAATATCTCCGAGAGGACTTCGGAAATAAGTAGAGCTCGATGCATGAGTTGTGCTTTGCAACGTAACTACATAGTAAAAACCGTCGATGCCAAGCGAGTTCCAATGGCACGTGGCAAAACATCCATGTACAAACAACCTTTACGGCCGGGCTCGGTGCGTTGCGGACCGTGTGGTCTAGTCGCATCTTCGAGAAATGGATCCGAGAGTCATGCATATGCGAAGTATCTGGAATGGACATATATATACACAAAGAGATTGCAATAATAGACAGCTAAAATCACACAAAGTACTGTGACCGAAACAACATGGAACTACACACCGGTATAACGAATCGGTTTTTTGAATGCCAAGGATGCCATCGTACCGTCCTCCTCCAGATCCTTGAACATTTTCTCATAAAGACGGCGTTTTTGTGACAACATTATCGACCTTCCAGAGTGCCGATGGCGCTCTTGAACCCAGAAAGCTGCAGACCAGCTGCGACTAGCTGCGAGGTGAATGACTTTATCGAGTGTCTACTCATCACTGACAGCGGTATGACACGCCGATAAGAATGTGAAATCAGCTTGCGGTGCATTGTTCGCCATGGGATAAAAAATAACGTGAGAGATTTGTGCCTCATGGATGCAAATCGCATGGCTACTCGCAGTCCTGCTTTCTATGGCAAGCAAGATGTACCTAGGTGTTACAGCTTCCAGTGAACCTGGCTTCGTCATCGGACATATTGATGAATTTGACGTTGGAGGGAACAAGTTTATGAACAAGCCCTAGTAGGCTCGCTGTCGACAGCAGCGAGCGTCGTGCCTTGCCCTGCGCCCGGTTGACCTTGCCCGATTTCTGCAAAGGACGGCGGAGTCACATGCGTCTTTTTGCATTCTGATCAGAGCCGAGAGTGTGGGCGTGCAAGAGCAGACATAATAATTGTCCTCTAGGCATAATTCCCGCCCAGAGCATGCATGGAGCGAAATAGAAGTGAAGGACAGCCTTCGCAACTTTCAGATCACGCTGGAGCATGTTGACGATGGGTAGCATGAACTCATCCCATATAATCTGCAAGAGTGCTATCAACTCCCTCCTTGGCTCCGTTGAGGCTATGATAGTTGCGTGCTGTATTGCCTTTGTGAAGTCGTCTTTGAGCGTCCCGAGATCTGCGAGAGTAAGAGATACTAGAGGGGGACGTGATGAGGTTCTCCTGATGCCGGGACGATAATGGCATTGCACGAGTACCGACTCACTATGAGGATGGTGGCATGCCACTTATAACTCGATACAATGGTGAAAGGAAGAATCGCGAAAAACCTCGAAGATTGCAGATTTTAGTCACTGTGTCGTGTCATCATCGCGTTATAAGTCTCCGATACTGTTGTTGCTTCAGCAGCAGCAGCTCGGTCTGTGCTAATAATGAACCTTTGGGCGTAAGACAGGCTCTTGCTGAGCTATGAAAAATTGTAAGTTAGACTTGGACTCGTAGACTCGAGGCGTCAGCGACCACTGCTGGTCACAGCCCTATTCCAGGAGTCTGACAGCCTTTCATGGATTATTGCACAAGGTAGGAGATGTTGCATCCTGAGGGATTTCTCCGATATCATGAAAGGCAGAAGCAGCTTTGTATTGTGTCGGACGATCTCGTCATCAAATATCTGTCAAAAAAAAAACTCCCAGGTATCGATAGAAGTCTGCGTAGAGAGCCAATTGATTAGCCCGCATACGCACAGGAAATCCTCGAGTAGGCTGGCTTGATGACAGTCTGAGATTCTCCACTGCGAGTGTTAAATGAGCAGGAAGGTCGTCAATTCACTTACACAAGTAAGTTGGGTGATGTTTGTCAAGCAGAATCTTGGAAAGCTGAGTGCTCATAACGAATCGAGAAGCAAGTTAGCCCCTTTAAAGTGGCCCTGAGCAAGGATTTACATCCCATCGTGACGGAGCACAGAGAGAATAGAAAAGCATGTATGACTCGGGGACAACACAGTTTAGTCGTGCGGCGACTGGAATAATTTCATTATAATCTGACGACAACAAAAGCACAGTATTTGTTGTCGCGTCGCAAGCAGCGGGGTAATCGACGATGGTTCGTTTGGATTCAAATTAGTAGTTGCTTTTCAAGTAGTTCAAGAATGGAATGAAGTGTACTTGCAAGCACGTGACCAAGACGCGACATGAACCTGTCACAGCCGCGTTACATCGTCCTTGAACATTTGCACCGCAGCCCACATTTCGGTTTAACAGCTCAACGATGCCAGGAATGAAGCGCGCAAGAAAACCAGTGCCAAGCATATCAGAAGAGGTCAGCGAGGATACAGATTATCAACGACCATCCATAAGTTCAAACAACTCGTGAGTGCTCTGTGCACTAACAAACGAAGAATATATTGATGCATATGTGTAGTGTGGACGCGTCATATGTATCCATCAATCAACAAGTAGACGAAACGCTCATTCACAATCCAGTTGGTTCGCACGAGTATACAAATAGGTAATGTCCTGGCGGCGTACTACGCGAATCACATTCTGACCGTGCGCGAAATCAGCGAAGCATACTTCGAGCAAAGTGTTGCAACAAACAGATCTATTTCTTCTAATTCTCGTCCGCCTCCGGAAAGGTATCAACCAGGGCAGCTACTTCCAACGATCATGACCGGGGAAACATTGGATCTTGAGGACTCGTACACAACTGACGGACCTACGTCTTCGCAGGGTCATGACCCTTTCTCAGACCACCACACTCCCACGCGCCCCTACCAGCAAGCCTCATGCACTCAACTGTCTCCTGCACGAGGACTCCCTCAACCACAATCGAATACATCACACGAACACCTTGTCGCCACTCCTTTCAGTTCTACCCCAACTATCTATTCAAATTATGGTACAGGGCCATCGAGCAGCTCTGTTGATCATTTCCAGCATGATACAGAAGCATATGCATCGGGTAACTTCACCCGCTCCTCCTACATTCCCCCCAGATCACGGTC